GAAATGAGCACCACCCTAATATTTACGGCAATCAGGTACTGTGGTATAAATAATTCTACCACATGGTAGAATGCCGTGATTCAGTAATGCCGTAATTCAGTAATTCTACCACCAACTATAACCCCAGGTGCACCAATAAAATTTTCATGCTCACGTGTCGATCAACAATTAGCCAATAATTAATCATGTATTCGTGTACCGTAACACGATCAGAAAAGTTCAAAACAATCGTTCGTTTTGACAAAATCACTTGTTTCTCGAAAATTTACATAAGAAACTATTTCCTGTGCCATAATAAAAATTTTTTCTTGAGCGATTTTTCTACTAGAACTCCCTTCTCTAACTCTTACATAGACTCTAACCCTAACATAACCGAGCTTTAAAGAATTTTGTCGACTATCACGTGAGAGTGAATGAATAGTAATTACGTAACTATAGCCACATATACGTATGTACGTATAAAGTTTATTATTTGTAGCGCAATTTGATATTGATTAATGAATTGCGTAAGTATAAGTGTATAAGTATATTTTAAGGAAAAATAATTTTATTTTTTTGTTAACTTGAATTTTTGATACGTTATTTTGTTTATGTTAATCTGTTTTTGTTGAATGAGGTTTGATTTTTAATAATACTTTGGAACGAAATGTGGAGATAATTATTTTATTTTCTTTAACGATATTTTTTTATTTTTTATTTTTTTTTGAATAAATACAATATATTCAAACTGGTTCAGGACTGGTCTTAAACCTGATAGTCGACCGGTTTTTTTCAGTTTCAGAGTGGTCATAAGACTAACTGTATCCTTAGTGTATATCGGTATGAGGGAAAACCTCGATCCTGTTTTCTTGATAGACTCAGCCGTGATATGTGAGTAATAACTATACAGTTCTATGGTATAAGCGGAAATGAAAATTCGGCTTAATGTTAACCCATGAAACACAATAGTAACTATTACTTACATATCACATATATTTCGGAACACGGCTAAGTCTAGTAAAAAAAAAATAAAACCGGAACGAGGTTTTCCCTTAGCCATACTCATATTTACTCACATTCCTTTTAATGACGATAGTCCATAAGAAATCCATCATACTTTATTATGATAAGTTTATTATTGATATTTTAACGTAACCACATTACTTTATTCATAATGAAATAAAGTTTTTTCCTTAATGCATTTGTGTAAATGTTTTGTTTATTAACGACAAAGTTAATTTATTAACATATAAAATGAAAACTTTCCCACGGTTTCTCAATAATGTTGTTATATTTAAATGAACGAAAATTTTAAACATAACCTGAATTTAGTAATAATAGTTATATGATTATTATTACTTTCTTGCTTTAAGAGTAAGAATAAATGGTACTTATAACATGAATGCTTAATTAATTCTTGCAAATTTTTCTTTTGTTTACTGCATTATAGGGAAATTATATGATATGACCAAATTATAACTTTATTTGAAATACTTATGTACAGTACGTACGTACATGAAATCAGCTCACTAAATAATGGCAATTCGCACACTATGCATGTAAGCATACAGTAATTCCGTAGACACATACGAGAATAATGCATTGAATATCGCGCCAAAAAAACATTTACCATTACGTACATAAGTACGTAAAAGTCGCGAACTCCGTGTAATATAGTATGTAGACGTGACTCTTGAAATTATACGGTTTAAGTCGAAACTTATTACGTACGAATTACGTTGTAACTAGGTTCGATCATATGTATAATGTGCTTCCCAGTATATTTGTTTTACCTGTATATATATTTGTTACTATTGCTGACAAATGGTGCAGCTAAGAATTATATATAGAATTTAATTATAAATATATATATAATAATAATTAATCATGTAATAAATTTAGTAAAGGTTAAAATTAATAATAAAATTCCCACTGGAACAATAAAACAATGGATTGTGGAGCAGGAGAAATTTCTTAATGGAACATCAAAAATAGTACCAATGATTTAAACTTTCTTGTGACCAATTTCCATATAAAATTTTCATGAAGTAATTAAAATACTTATTTGTGCTTACATTTTCGTGTAATGATATGATTTCTTATAGGAATAATATTCGGAAAGATGTGATAAAATAAATTTAAAAAAACAATTTTCCTACATAATTTGTTTTAAAATCGATGATTTTAAATTTACGCCAAAAAAATAAAAATAAATAAAATAAATAAAATAAATAAAATAAATAAAATAAAATGGTTAATATTCTATGCGGTCAGACAATTTCAGTAGCTTAAAAATAATGAAATTAGATAAATTGGATCATTCTGGTACGCGATTATAACGATAAGTCGGGATTTTGATAGATAATGTATGTACGACGGCGATAATCGTATGAATGTTAATGAGTCAACATTTCCGTATGGTGGTATCATCCTAACATGTCGGCACGGAAAAATTTACGTAATAAGCGAAATCTTTATATAAAGGCCATGAAAGTGTAAATAATTATTTCAACTTCTTCAAGTCTCTAGTGCTTGTTATCGTATTTCCTATGTAATTTAATACAACTCATTTACTACCAGAATTAAGCACGTACATACATTTATATATATATATATATAGTATATATGCAGAAGTACTCTAGATGATATCATAGTAACACTAACACTATGATATAGCAACAGTAACAACAAATCAAACAAGTTATTTAATATAACAAATAGCAGAGAATGAATTTGAAACCAACACATCTGATTTGTTAATCTGTGATCAATCAGTTTACGAATTAGTTTAAGCTTCAGCATCAGCTATGACAATAAAGGAATGCTTGGAAAATATTCTGAGACAAATTTTCACAATAAATAATAGCCGTTTGACCTAATCTCAGTATTCAATAAATTAAATCAATAATTAGTTACCAATTTTTTATTAGCTCAGTTATGGTAAAAGAATATAGAACATACCAAATGTTATGCAATGTCATGCTAAGGATAAATTATTTTTCCATAGAAAGTTACATAATTCTTATGAACCATGTCAATATCAGTATAGGTGAGTCGAAACATACCAAAGTTTCTTTATTGAAATCTTTTTAAAACTTTGATAATAATAAGTTTAACAAGAAAACCAAATTTAATAATTAATTTGAGAAATTATTATTAAATTTAGTTCTTGTTGTTATTGTTCAAGACTCCAAAAAGATTTAAATTCTTTTCATTTCCGCTGACTAAGTGGAATGCCGTTTATTATGTAATTTCTTTTTATTAGCCCTCTCTATCCTCTCATAAAATTACGTAATAATGACCTATCTGAGTATCGTAAGGGAAAATCTGTCATCGCGCTTTCAATTATATTTGTATCGGACACAATCTTTAACAAATTAAACAGATTGTGTCCTATACAAAATATAATCGAATCCCAATGACAGGTTTTCCATTGATGGCACTCATTTAATAACGGTATTTTTTTTCTATTCGATAACTTTTCTTATAGAATACTGAAATACTGAATTGATAGTGAACATTTGTTAAATTTAATATGAAAATGGATAACAGACTCGAGCTCTAATTTTTCAATTACAATTTTTTTTCTTATCTGTTATTTTTCCGAAAAGTTAAAATGTAAAGAAAGATAAAGAAAATGTGATGAAAGCAATTAGTAACACGAGTCTCTACCATGTCATCATATGAGACGTTGAATGACTCATTATTCTCACCGTCCTGGGGAATAAATAGTATTTATAGCTGTTATCAAAAAGGTGTGAACAGACGCAGATCACTATATCTCGAAATTTCCAAGATTTACAGAATTTTCAAAGCCAGTGCTAATCGATTTCCCACATAGGTATATGGAAATTGTTGTTCACACCTTTTTGTGAAAAAATATTTCTAATATCTGAAATTTCACTTTTCGGATAAATCATTGACCTCTATTAATTCGTTTTATAAAATAAAGGACACGAAGCATGTTAGCAATAGAATGTTAAGAGGTTATACCGCATTCGAATTTCTTAAAGTAGAGATTATATACTTACCAGTATTACCGCATATAAAGTATGGAAACGGAAACGAAAATGTAATAGTAAGTATATAAGTTTTGGTGAGTGCGTTATTAGTAGAAAACTTATCTTTGAGGTATATATATATATGTACATACCTATTGTTGATATAAAAATGACTTGTCTTAATAAGAAATTATTTAAATACAGAGTTTTTTTTAACATTCATTAACATCATTCATATTTTTTTTTTTTTTTTTTTGTAGAAAGGTAAGGTTTTGTTCTTAGCTTTATTAATAATTTGTAGAATCACATAGGGATTCATAAGTTTACAAACTATATTGCAAGAATTGAGACCCAGATTATATAGATGGAATATATATTCTGTAATCTAAACCTACTAGAGTGGTTGAAACTCATTTAGCGTCATTAATATTATAATTAATATTTAATGTGCTATAGACACATCGAGTAATTCGTCTTAATATTATTATATGAAGTGGCAAAAAATAAAAATAAAATAAAAAAAATAATGATTGTTCATAAGCCTTTAAATCAGATTGTTCTTAAACCAAAATCTTATTTCCAGATATAAAACTACTCGTGGATAATTAAACATAATTTCTTATTAAAAGGGGCGTTGTTGCATAGTACTTTGAGGGGATGGTGAAAGAGGCGAAATAGGTGATGTTGGCTCAGGTGTAGAAGTTGCAGAACCTAGTAAGTTTTAATTAAAGGTTAGTATAAATTAAAATTTAGTATTTGATTTATAAAAAGGAACAAAAACATATATATATATATATATAGATTTATTTATTACGTGGTTTTCTGCCTCGTTTTTTATTTTGAGTAGGGTCACACGGAATACCTTTATCACTGCACCTTCCACAAGGGCGTTTGGTCTCACATCGTGAGTGGGAGGTTTTACAATTTAAACATGCGTCTGTGACATTCTTTTTATTCTTTCGTGGAACGAGTAACGGCTGAGAGCCATGTGCGAAATTTGTGGTATTACCGAATGAGTCATTAGAAGTGTAATATTGTGGTTGAGGAGAAGTACTTAATGAAAATATTTGCGAGTCAGAAGAATAACCATCTGTCATTTGAGAATCCGAGATGTATTCACTATCATAACTTCTTGACAATGGGGAAGTTATTGGCATGTGCAGTTGAGGCAGTTGAAGCAATTGAGATAAAACTACTTCTAATTCCAAAGGTGAGTTAAGCAATTGCGAGTCTGATCGATAACCATCAATATCTGAACTTGTTACGTTAAATGATGGCTGTGGATCAGAATAATATCCTCTATCATCAGGTATTTGCATATCATTATAACCATTATAGGGATAAAATAAGCCTGGTTGCAAATTCTGAAAATCCTGTTGAGGTTTCTTTAAGCATTTTTCTTTACCAAAATTTGCATTTCCTGGAGTTACTTCATGTATTTGAATTTTAGGATTTGATCGTTCAGTAGGTAAAGGATTTGAGCTACTGAATTGATCAGTTGTTTCATTAACAGAAGGATTTACTATTGCAAAGGATGGAAAAATTGGTTGTTGCGGATTTGATACATTATTATGATTCATTGTTATTTCAGGTTTCTTTTTCGTCTTTCGGTTTTTTTTTTTATTGATATTTTTTTTTTTATGCAAAACGTTTGGAAAAATCGCTTAATTTATTAAAAATTTTTGGTTTGACAACCCAAAATTTCCGCTGTGTAAGAACCTTCCATTTCCCGGAATTTAGAGACTTTGTAACGCAAGGTTACGCACAATACTTTTTTTGGCAAAACAAGATTCGACTGATTGATTCTCGAAATTACAAAATTTCCTTTTTTTGTCTTACGCCGGGACTTTAGTCCTTATTACTTATTCAAATACAAATTTCGGCTTATTAGATTTATTAAAACTATAATGATGAAATTAATTACGAGCTTTACTGGTTATTAACTTTTAAAAAATTTGCCTTCACGAATTTTTTTCAGGTTGCACGGTCAAATTTTCCCGAATTTTTAAAATCATGAAACATTGACTTTTTTTTATCAAAAGGGAAATACTAAAAGTAAACAACTTTTAAATTTTCGATTGTCAAACTTAACCGAGCAAATTTATTATTTACGAATAAGTTAAATAATAAAAATAAAATAATATTTCATCTAAATTCACTATTCTGTGCATTCTGAAAGTTATTATTGTCGAAATTCGTGCGGTTTTTATTATATTTACAATGTCATTCAAATTACATAGTAATTAATAAAATTTAAAAAATTGAACATGTCATATATGAAGTTTTACCACATACGAAATGGCGATGTGGTGGTTATATACATTAGCTACGCTGTGGTGGTTATGTTATACAACATAAATCCTTCATTATCTGTTATAATAGTAGTTCTACGTATACATATATGCTACGTATACGTCCATGTTAAATCTTGAAATTGACATAAGTCATTTAATGATACATTCTTAGAATATTTATTCAAGTGTTATGTGTTTAGAGAATTCTTCCCTTTCTTTACTATGACAATTTCTGAATATTATTGTGCAATAATTTTAGAATGTTTTTACATTCATTTTACATTAATTTAAAAAGTCGGGTATCGCCGACAATGGAATTCTCTTTAACTTGTTTGTATTATTTTAGTAAAGTGCATATTTAATTGTTTTAAATTTTGTTGCATAATGACAATTCTCAAAGAAAAAATATAAAATGTAACAATGTCAAGGTTTAATAGAAGAATTAATCATTATATGCTATCATTTATTAGTTATTAATATAATTATCGAAAGCAATGAAATAAATTATTTAAAAAATTTAGCTGAGCAGGCAAGAAATATGTAATTTACTGCACGCTAAAATATTTTAGATGAGTAATTTATTATAAATAAGATAAGAAAAAGCTGAACAATAGGATACTTTTTTAAGATAATGAATAAAGATATAAATGGTAAATAATAAAGTTAAGTATGCATGTTTACGTATATTTGTCTTAATATACATAAAAAAAAATCATACGATGAAATTGCATAATATTACATAGGATTATCTTAAGTATAAGGGGGGTCTGTATTGATTTTGGTTATAACTGATAGGTATCTTACATAAAATAATTGTCTGAACTGTAGCGGGATCTCGTAATGATAATTCCAAGCGAACTGAATGAATGTCCGTGTGTCACGTCAAGGATCTTAGGTCCCATGAATGATCTGCAGTCAGTAACACACATAATAAAAGTTTTTTATCTTTCACTTTCGCTCTGATTTCCTAGTTACGAATTATCAATATACATATAAAATTTAATAAACCACATATGTATTTAAAATCACGGCAACATCCTCTTTAGGTTTAATTAAGCATTTCCTCAAATGATGCAATATTTCAGTTATACATGATTTCTTATACTAGATAACTGCGCGCATATGTAGTACATGTCTACTTTTAACTATTTTAGTATTGGAGAATAAATATTTTTTGGTGTACGTACGTACATATATACAATACATACAATTTAAGAATAAACATTTACACAAAATCCGGTTTTGTTATTATCACAAACCTATAAACGCATAAGTGAACCGAAAATTTGCCATAAAGCTTTGTTACAAAGTTTTGCATCTGAGACAAAGTCCTTGGATATATTATAAAACATATTTATTTTTGATTGTTAAATATGAAAATATGATCTAAATTCAGTATATTCTTGGTTCATATTAGGAATGAAAAATTGCCTGCAAAAGTAATTCCCCATTTTCCCCATGTAGTACGTATTGGGGTGCGCGGTTTTCTACGTATGTAAATCATACCTATGGAAATTCTTAATGGAATTTTTTAGACAACGATCGATAGGTGCGTAACAATCTTTTATAATAATTGTTATAAAATTTTAAATAGATGCACAACTCTAACAGTTCGATAGTTTTGGATAAAATTCCGTAAAGGCAATATTACGTCTTTACAGATAAAGCCATCTCTACAAATAAAGCTATAGAGCCATTTATTTCTTTAAATACGAAAAAATTTTTAATACACTACGTTTTTTTTTTTTTCTTAAAGAAAATACAAAAAAGACAAAATTAAATTTGTTTCTTTTTCTCTAAAGGAATTGCTCTATAGTTTTGCGAAATTTATCCAAAACTATCGAACCGTTAGGGCTGTATATCTTTTTGAAAATTTGTACGTAGTAATTATTATTATTTTGACTCGGGTCATTTTGACCCGTCACGTGATCATGTGCTCGTTGTGCATTTGAATTGCCCTGTCACGTGATTTGACACTTTGCTGCTAGTCAATCAAATTACGGAATTAGGTAGGTTCAAGTGAACCCTAATTTGGCTCAGGTCGAACCCAATTTAGGTTCAAGTGGATCAAAATTGCCTTAAGTTGAACCCGATTCAGGTTTAACTTGAACTTAAATTTGGTTCAACTTATGCCCGATTTTGGTCTAAATAAACCCGAATTGGTTCGATTTGAACCAAATTCATGTAAAAAAAGGAAAATCACTTGTATCATATATATGAACCTTTAAATAATTATCAACTAAAGGATCCCACATGCAACATACATTTATACATATACAAATGTTAAATAAAGCAATATACGTTTATACATATTGTGAGCCCGATTTTTGGGGGTCACGGGTGCCCAAATTGAAGTGACGATCCTTAACCGATCCAAGGTCACGCGAAAAGTAACGGAAATGTTACTTATGGTACTTATGTCGCTTCTGCTACTTCAGTCTCATATTCGTTAAATGACATATTGGCCTTTTATTACATTTAGTTAAGATATAGAGTATAAGGAATATATCACATTTATGACAGAAATTGATTACAAATGTAAATAAGACGTTTTTTTTATAAATAAAGGGCATTTCTGCCTGGGGAGGACAATAGTCCCTGATACCAATAGTTCCCAAATAACAATAAACATCTGACCCATCATAAAAGTGAAAGTATTACCTATACAAACTAATAAACTTCGTTAATCCCCTCTCTAACATAATCGTTCATCCATAAATCACTAAACACACTAATGATCACGCACCATAAGCCATATTATCAAGTATGTCATTGACATTAAAGAAGAATTCCAATCCCAATTTAACGTAGTATAATCTCAGGTTGAAGTTGACAAAGAAAAGACAAGATTAGTACAAGAATAGTTTGAAGGAAAGATTTAAGAAGAAGACCAGTATTTACTTACAGATAAACCACCAACCAAATCTTATACATCTTCTTTGACTTAGCTGCTATAGGTTACACAAAAATTGGAAGAGAGTAGTGACAGATTCACCAATTTTCCAAACAACAATATACAAATGTTAAATAACTGATAACAATAAATTCAAATAAATTACATACAATATTACAAAAAAAATAAAATATTCAAATGTAAAAAACAGTAATTTACTAATATTATATTAATGACATTTAATAAATAGGTTTAGAAAGTTTTATGTTAATAAAATATCTTGATACTAATAAAATATCTTAATATTTTGCAATAAATTTAATAAATTTCTATCTATATTTGAAACCTAAAAAAAAAATAAAAAGTAACTTAGTATACCTTTAAAAGTTAAAACATAAATGTAAAAACTTATATTATAAGTAATAAAAAAATTAATATTATAACTAGTTATAGCAAATTTAAAAACATTATAGTTAAAAATTTCTATCTGTTATTTTATTTGAACTATATGTTATGTTTATATACTAACATTCTAGATATTTTAATATAAATTTTAACTATAAACTGTTATTGCATTTGATATTAACTAAGAAGCCTTATATTTTATATTAATAATAACTAAAAAATTACTAACTTTATTTACAATTATTACTCTTTTATTCTTAAAACCTTTTAATAAAAATTTTACTTGATGAATTATCAGTTTCTTATATTTTTCACAAATAGAACTCTTTCTACTCTTCATTTTGTTATAAATGCAACCTGTTTAATACTTTTTATACTAGCTTATTTATTCTTTTTCTCAAATTTTCTACTATTTTTTTTTAATTTTTTTAATATTATTTTAAAATATAACTTCTTTTAATATCTCTGTTAATTTTGTTTCTAATTTATATAAAGAAATTTTTATACTTGATAATTTTAATTTATATATATTTTTTATATTAATTCTCTATAATTTTTATTATATCTAATTTGGTTTTAATTAATCTTATTTCTATTATTCACAAAATTTCTATTTTTTATCATACTGTCATCTCTTTTTCTATTAAATTTCTTCTTTATTTAAATCAACAAATATATAAATATATCTAAATTCTCTATTGCATTTCTTATTATGAACAATCTTAAATTACAATTTCTACTAACTTATTAATTGTTCTTCTTATATGCTTATTTTTAATATTTAAAATTATTATTAAAATAAACCTTTAAATTATTTAATAAATTAATATTACATTCAACTCTTATATTTTTATTTACACCTAAATCTAAATAAATCTTAGTCACTTTTATAGGTTTAAGTTAATATTATAAAAAAAATAAAAAATATTATAGTTATTAGTTATATCAAAAAATATAAATATATTAAATTAATTATATAATAAATAAT